TTGTCCAAAGGAAACCAGATAAACTGTTGGATGATATGTGGTCTAGAGAGCGCGTTGATGGTTTGGTTTATGGCACAGCTGACTGATGGTTGCGATATTCCTAAATCGTCGGCATTGCAAAGTTGCATTTTCCCTGTTGCTAAATATCGTAGTGTTGCCAAACATTTTATTTCCGGACTAATCGGGTTATTCCTGTTAGTCGGGGATGTTATTGCATCCCGCACTAATTCCACAACAAGTTTGATACCCTCACGATTTTGCCTATATCTCTTGATCAATTCACAGTCTTCCATTGTCTCCAAAACATTTCGTCTCTCAGCCATTTTCAGATTCTTTGTGAATAGGTCTTACTGAGTTAGGAGTCCTCTCGAGGACTTTTAAGCTCTCCCAGACTTAGGTGCTACTTTTAGGCTTAAAATACTTTGTGAATTGCTCTTAGTGAATAAAATTAGGAGTCCTAAATTTAAGACTGACACGCCCATTATGTTTAGGAGTTTCTCCTAAATTCGCCAGTTAGGAGCTACTTTTAGCCCTAAAATCCTTTGTGAATACGGCCCCTGGTCATTAGAACTTATGGATGATTAAAAAGAGAAACAAGATCCCTAACTACTGTAACACCTCCATAAACCGGTGCTATATAAATAAACTTGCCTTACCTGTCCAAACAGAGATTGTCATTTTTTTTTAAAGTGACGTAAATTGTCCAAAGCAGAACATTCAATTCTGTCAGAACCTTTAACTTTGAAACAACCAGTACACCTCAGGCTAAAGCATTTGTTAAACAAGGACTAGCTGGTAAATGGTGGTCATGTGTTCAATCCCTACCTACTGTAACACCTCCAAACAGCTGTCCAAACAGAGATTGTCAGTTAAAAAAAAGTGATGTAAATTGTCCGTCACAGCTCCCAAATCCAATGTTAAAATGGCTCTACACCTGAGGACAGACAACTGTTTGATAATTAGGAAATCAACTATGTACAATCAACATCAAATCCCCCCCTGTGCAGGCTTTGGACGGAGCGTTCAACCAGGAGAACAGAGAGAAGTGTAAGGCTGCCACCGGCCCGCTGATCGAAGCCGTGGACAACCTGACCGCCTTCGCATCCAACCCAGAGTTCGCCAGCATTCCTGCTCAGATCAGCCCAGAGGTACTTCTCTTTCAAATGTTGTTTTACTTGCATTTTAATAACATATATGGATACAAGGCATACATAAGAAAATGGCATACAATTAAGACAACCAACTCAAGAGGCACCTTTTAACCCACCTCTTAATAATTGAATCGAAATGTAATTATTCTTATTTTATTAATGTATTCTTCTCGTTGAATTCAGTCCTGTGTTTGTATTAGGTGTTCTTATTGTGTAATCAATAGCACACAAGCTGTGTGTTATGACCTGGGAACGGGGGTTAGTGTTGACTTTGTTCATGTTTTTGGTTTGTGAAGCACTTCAGAAACCGGTTTATCACCAGGTAGGTTGACACGTACGAGGACTTTGACTTGGTCTCGTGGTGCATACATAAAACAAAAAAAAAATTAAAAAACACAGATAGCGAACTATTTTAAGAACACTATAATAACATAAAAAATAAAAATAGTCAAATGTATGAAAATGTATCTATAAATAAAGTTGGATCTGATTTGATTTTCATGCTGATGTTCCTCAGGGTCACGCAGCCATGGAGCCCATCGTTGTGGCCGCGAAGACGATGCTGGAGAGCTCGACCGGCCTCATCCAGACGGCCCGCTATTTGGCTGTGAACCCCAAAGACCCCCCCAAGTGGTCCGTGCTGGCAGGACACTCCAGGACCGTGTCTGACTCCATCAAGAAACTCATCACCAACATGAGGTAAGTCAGCACTCTTGTGATTTGTTCCTCTACTTAGCTATTTGTCGGCAGCGTTATCAGAGTCCCAGCATGCCCCTGTGCTTCATTACTGGTTTATTACAGCCACTTCTCCCTGTACACACTCTAGAACCCTTCAAAGAATCTCTCAAAACTCACTTATTCACTCTTTCAGAAAGAGTGAACAACAGAGCACTTTTTTTGTTTTGTTTTTTTGTTCTGTTTCTGATTTTGTGTAAAGAGCCTTTGAGCACTGGGAAAAGTACTATACAAATGTAATGTATTATTATTATTCTCACTGTACACACTCTCCATGTCTGTGTGTGTGTGTGTGTGTGTGTGTGTGTGTGTGTGTGTGTGTGTGTGTGTGTGTGTGTGTGTGTGTGTGTGTGTGTGTGTGTGTGTGTGTGTGTGTGTGTTGTTGTGCAGAGAGTTGGAGATCAGAGTGGGGGGGGGTCAGTGAAAGCTGAGTGATGGTTAATGGGATGGAGGGTCTTCAGAGGTCAGGACATCACAAAGACCCCCTCTAATGTCTTAATACCTGGATCAGAACATGACCTGGAGGCACCAAACAGAGTCCTGGGGGGAAACTCTCTCTCCATCTTAACTCTCCTCTCTCTCCATCTTAACTCTCCTCTCTCTCCATCTTAACCCTCCTCTCTCTCTCCATCTTAACCCT